CAGTACGTACTGTTCATATGCATGACAACAGTACATACTGAATTTCATCAACTCGACCGTTAAAGCAGTACGTACTGTTCATATGCATGACAACAGTACATACTGAATTTCATCAACTCGACCGTTAAAGCAGTACGTACTGTTCATATGCATGACAACAGTACATACTGAATTTCATCAACTCGACCGTTAAAGCAGTACGTACTGTTCATATGCATGACAACACACATGCATTCGAACATACTGCGTGTTACCTGACCCAGATGTTTTCCAATGGCACTGCATTACTTTGCGAAAGTTAAAAGTCGTTTTCCACTTAACTTTGTACAGAGACTGCACTTCCTCCACCATCTTCACTGTTCTAGAGGCCTTGTAGAATGTAGTATGTTATCCAGGTTTCGCTTGCCTGCTGTCTCGCCCATACTGAGGATTCGTACATACGGCTCAGGTCACATACTATACTCTGCCTACTACACAGCAAACAAGTACGCAATTTCTGAACCACCCCAAAAACTTGGTGTGCTGGGAGCTGGGAAGGAGCAAAAACCTGGACTGTCTGCAGGTCTCCAAAGACTGGGGTGAGAAAGACTAGGGTAACACTCATATGATTATTCTTGGCTAACATTGATATGATTATTCTGCTGGCCCGAGGACTCAAACTGATGACCTTGTGAACACGGGCACAGCTTCCTAACCCACAAAGTACACACCACCCTCTTATCAAGGCAGGAAAGATGCCTAAGGACTGCAGACTACCTCTCAGACACAGACAGCAAATTAGCTATGGAAGCTTGTATTGGGACACTCACCCAATGCTCCTAGCGTGCTGGAAGAAACCGCCATGCCTCAGAAATCGAAATCTCTAAACTCTCACGGAAATCTTGAGCAGACATAGTCAACTTCTGCTGATGGAAGACTCAAATACAAGCTTACGATGTACATTTGCATTTGTGGCAGACATTACTCCCCCGGGGGTGTTACACAGGCCACTGAGCCAGCACAGTGGTTCTGGATTGACAGGTGGCCTCACAGTTCTTGGGTTGTGCGTTTGATTCCTATGGGGTCTATGTGTGTGTTGGTTTTGCATGTTCTCCATATTGGTGGGTGGGTACAGCGGGGGCCATGTGATGGACAGTCATCCCATCCAGGATGTCCCCTTTACTTCCTGGCACAGCCCCCACACATCAGTGACCTCAGTTAGGGAAGATGGACGACTTTGCTATCTGTTTACTTTAAGGGCGACCAGCAACATTGATCATTTAAGGGGACGGCGACACATAAACGTCACAGTGTTTTGTTTTCGACACAGGAGACTGCGTCCCACCAAACAGCCTCCTGTCTCCTGGCCAACCCCCAGACTAAACAACGGCCATATTTCACTGGAGGCAATTCACCGGCATTGCTGTCCTGAAACTCATATGGTATCTTTAGGGATTTTAGTTGCAGTTCCTCTGTGTGGTATCAGTTTATTACACACTGAGAGCAGGACTAAGACTGATGAGAGTGGGAACACACTGCCTTTACACCTGGGAGGACAGTTTAAAGAACCAAAATGGCTTCTTTGTAAAGGACACATGAACAATAGTCTCGTGAATTCAATGTGTCAACAAACATGAAAAAAAATAACGCTTTTCTCCACTAAAGCATACACTGGGCCTGTGATCAGAAGGTCGCTGGTTCAAATCCCAGGATCAGCAGAGTCATTTCACCACTGGGCCCTTGAGCAAGGCCCTCAACCCCCACCTGCTCCAGGGATTGAGGGGCCCTGCTTCCTGAAGTGTGCAGCGCTTTGGTCAAAAGCTGCCGCTAAATAAATAAATAGTAAATATTCCTGTAGAATATGCCTCCATGCATTTGTAAATATAACATGATTATTTTAATAAATAATGTGCAGGACAAGTTCAGCACCATCCCCGTACTGTGTGAGTGGAGTTTGTATATCCTCCAGAAGTTTAAAAGTGTGCACTGGACTAGCATCCTATTGGGGGGGGGGGGTCCCTGCTTTAACATTTATAGTTTAAAAAAAAGTTACCAAAAAAACAAGAATCTGAACATTTCCCATAAGACGCAGTCATGTGATGTATGATGGAACATAATGAGAAGTTCTGCTTTTTTGCATCAAGAACCAGGCAGGAAAATTCACATTATGTGCTTTGCATTAAACAGGAGGCTTTCATTCAAGTGATTAGGGTCCCTGCAGAAATGACCAAAAATGCGACATTGAACCTTTCCGGTGAGAAATGCGGCTGCTGCTGCTCCTCCGCCGTCCTGCCGCAATTCTTCTGATTGCTGTCCAGTTGGGGCCCAGCGGGTCGGCCCATTTGTTCCTTACAGAGGTCCATTTGAAACAGAACCTCGAGAGCAACTGCATTCAGCCGGCAAAGTGCGCATAATTCTTGCCACAGCTATTGAGAAATTTGAATTGGATTGATGACGACAGAATTTGGTGAGACTACTTCCAATAGCTATAGTGAAACTTTGCCCTCTTAGTTTGACATGTATAACTGGCTGAAAAGACCCTAAAGCCATTTTCACCAGAACATTCCCTGTGAGACCACCTGGGCTGTTTTGATAGCTTTACATCAGATTATAGTCATTCATCCATCTAAAGGCTGGGATATAATGGAGACTAATGCATCATACCTCTATCATTTTGTTTATCACATGGTGTTTTGTGGTGTATTATCAAAGGGATTGTGCTATCATCACCCTTATTAATATCCCCATAAATCCTTGGCGTCATGGAAAGTCGATTAATGGATCACCTGATTTGAACCTGGTTCACATCCCCGTTGTCACGCCCCATGGTCAAACAAGTATCCAGTTCGCATTGATCAGATACGCATGCAGCGCTCAAGTTAAAAGTCAGCACGCCCTCGCATTTGGTGTGAGGTATTGTTGTTCCCATGCAACTTATTGAGCGGCTCGTTATTGTCATCCATCTCGCCCTGTTCTTACTCATCTTCTCCAGTCCAAAGTCCCCGATCCCCTCGGATCCTCCTTGTGTTCACACACACTGTTCCTCGTGATCTCTCAGGACTGACTCAGCCTGCTTCCAATCTCTCCAGACTACTGACACTGACCACGAGCCTAGCCTGCCAATTTCACTTCCATTTTCCAGATCACTTTAATAAACCCCAGGTCTATTGTATCTTTGGGTCTTGTGGTTGGGGGAACGTCACTTAGAGTCTCTGGATTAATGTGGATTCAGAAAAATTCAAAGAACTGAAAAGCACAGCATTGCTGGGAACAATTGGCTACAGGTGCAACTTAGGTTCACAAATCCTGAAGGTACAGCATACAGATTCGATATTACTGTGCTGCTCGGCAGGGATCACATGAAGATGGAAAGATGGGGGGATTCAAGCTTATGTGTTTAGTAGAACCACTGAACTAAGACGCAGCGCATCTCCAGCTAATGTTTATCTCAACACACAAGTCCTTTCGCACAGAGCTGCATTTATCTGAAACCAAGCGGGAGTAGCAACTATTTCAAAAGACGTGATGCTCTTTGACTGCAACCCAGACGTAAAAAGGGGCCATGTGAACCACGAGGCAGCATCAGCATGGTACCAAATCCAGTCAGGTCTTTGAAAAACATGATGGTGCTTCTAGATGCTGGTCTATTTGGAGGCTTATGTCATAGAAACAAATATCGCAGAGGTGAAATAAACTAGTTAACAGAACTAACAAATGCCTTCAGATTCTTGTCCTCGAGAAAGGTTTTCCACTTTAAGATTGCAAGATTCCTAAACGTGACAGTGGTGGAACTTGCCTTATGTGGCAGGAGCCAGACAAAAAACAACCAAGGCGCAGCTTCCGTGCATCTACTACAGCCTGAGTCACCTCAGCAAATGACCCTGATGCAAGAAAATCACCAGGAAATGACACAGAGGACGACCCCAGACGTACCCAGGAAGCGGAAGGTCCTCCGTACCAGCGGGTTGAGGTAACAGCAGTCTCCCATCACAGTAATCTTCTCTCGGTTGTCCACGTCTTCGGAAACGTACTGGAGCAAGAAGAACACAGACTCTGTAGCCGATATCTAAAGAAAAGAAAAGGAAGATCCTACATAAATATTTCAATAGGCCACATTTCCAGCGCCTTTCCAGTAGATACAAGATGTATTTGTCAACCTGAAAGTGTAGTGCAGTGTAATTGCTAACACAACATGCAAAGCTTTCTGTTTCACTATTTAACCAAAATAAAATGGTATGTTAACAGGGTCAGCGTGACAATAACAATATTTGACAAAGTCAAGCTACAAAGAGAAAATGACTTCAAGCATATAAAACCATGTTCAATAGTCTACATGACATTTGTTTTGAGCGACTTCTGCAGAGCATCCTTCACTGGCTGCAGTTTTGACTGACGGATGCACAAAATTTATCTGAACCACTTCCACTAAGCATATGCTGTCTCAAGGTCCCATTCAAATTGTCAGATTTTCCACCTACAGTCTCCTTATATAGCATCATGATAATCTCTCCACTCTCAGTAATGGCAGGTGACTCCACTGAAGGACTGCTGGATCATACAAAAAGTGCATCTGTCCAGAAAGCAGGTAAGACTGTTTGTGTGATCCTAACTCACTCAGAAGTTCACAACTCTGAACCATTTTTCCAAAGCCGCTTTTGCATAGCTCAGTTATGGCACACAAACCAAAAGAGGTGATATTGCTGTGACTTTTCCAGATCAAAAATATTCATGCATCTTCCCTCACTTACGACCTTCTGCTTTAAGAATCTAATCTGCCTAAAGCCTCTGTCACCTCAAAGTTCTTGTACAAAATAATATCAAAGCGATCCATTGTTCTTCGGTCTTTCTCGCCTGTCATCTCTACGTCAGACTTCATCAATTTCAGAGCAGAAAATTCCTTCCTGGTTCCAGTCTGGCGACATGGCCTCCTTAGGAGAGTAGATTAGGTTATTGAAGTATTTTACAGATCCTTCACCTTGAATAGACTATATATTCTTTGAAAAAGACAATCCAGTATATAACTGAATGAAAAATTTTTTTTTTTTTAAATGTCCAAGAGTATTATCAGAGTAGAATGAACAAAATACTTCTAGGAAATAATTGATCTTTTAGATTGAAAATAAATGTTTTTCTTGACCCAGAGATAGCAGTGCTGGTCTATTTTGTATTGTCCTGATCTACTTTTGCTGCTGTCGGTCTTCTTCTTGTATTGTAGAAGGAGATTGGTTCAGCCCTCTTTAAAAAAAAGAAAGTGGGGATCATGAGAGGGGCACTATTCTTGCTGAAAAGAGTACAACTGAAAAGACTGAGCTGCTCTGCATATTTCATCATTTCTCTGCCCTTTCACCCAACACAAAATCTCCATTCAGATAACATTTTCCATATTCTCCTGTCACCCTCCCAGTTCATATCTTTTATCTCTAGGGACACTGCAGTCCATACCATGCACATCTGGTTTTAAGTTACTTGCAAAATGGTAATCCGCTATATATTGAAACTGCATAAATTGTATTTAACATGAAATTAACACATTATCCAAAACAGTTTTGCAAATCTTCACTAAGGTTTACTTTCATTTCATGGGTCCTTGATTTCACTGAACCCCAGAACAGTCTACAAAAATATTTTCATTATTTCAAGCTCATATTCATTCTAGACACATATTGTGGAGCCTAATGATACCATAGATCACAGTCACCTTGTATTTAATACAGGTTCACCTGTGTGGGGTATGTGATCCATTGAACACACACACATAAGGCACAGGTGTCCACGTGACACAATGTGTCACGCGAACTAACGCTCCCTGAAACCATGGTATAACCGTACGAGATTAGTTATTGAGGCTGCTGCAACGATAACGATCATAATCAATGACGTCAATAATAATCGGTAATAAAATAGTTGACGATTTTTTTCGTCGATTTTTTACATTTTTGCGCTTTGCAGCGTGCATATTCTATAATGGCATCATTGCCTAACAACGTTAACTTTGGTGTGTTACGATGAATTCGTCCGTCTCATGCGTACATGCTACATTTATTCATAGATTCAGGAGTATGTGGCGCCAAACCGGACAAAAACCGAGCGAAAATCGCTAGAGGAAACGAATGCATGTACGCGAGAGATGTTGAAAGTTTGGGCGAACAAATGAAAGTACGCGAGAGACATTGAAAGTGCGAGAGGGAGCTAAATATGGAGGAGACAGCGGATCTTTGTTTTTATAAAACTGTTACTTTAAATACAGATTCTCTGTAATTTGTAAAGTTTATATTAGTACTGTGATTTAAAAAAAACTCGGCGTTTTTTAAGCATTTGCACTTTTCTATCAAACCTGACTTTTGGCACAACAAATCGATTGGCCTAGTTGATCGTTTGATCACATGATTAATATCGACTATCAAATTTTTCTGCAGCCCTGTTACAGATATAAAAACGCATTCAAGTACATTGTACTGTTGTATGCTGAGAATGAACACAATTATAATAAACAAATAAATCGGCCTTAGCGCAACTATTATGGCTGTGCTCTGATTATGTTGTCCTTTTAAAATTGCGGCATTAAAATAAATTAATGCTGATCCTTCCACTGATCACTACAAATAAACGCACTACGTTTTCCATGCGTTGTTCTTCTCAAACGCAGAAAACGTAATGGGGCGACTCTTTCATTAAATAAATGTAAATAAATCTGCACTAATGACGAATTACAACAAATGAATCTGGTTTGATAATGCAATTTTAAAAGAATATTTTCTGCGTGACATGTTGAAAACTGTATGAAATGTCTGTGCGAGATATGCTCTCATTTTGGCTGTGTAAATTTGCCATTAGGCCTATATTTTTGAATTTATGGGTCTTTTTTGTTTGTTTGTTTTTTGTCAAATTTTAATAAGCCCTTAATTTTCATATAGCATAATGCATATCGAGGACATTGGAGAACGATAGTTAAAAACAACAAGTCTCCAACAACATCTGCAGAATTACGACCAATGGAAAGAGACATATCTGCGATTATTCACGTTTCACTGGAGGGCAAAAGAATACGGAAGACCAACGAGCATCGTGCACTAATAATAGCGGTCTCGCTGCCCTGCCCCATAAATGTCAGCTGCCATAACCCTGACGGAGGACTGCTCAGCATGCCGCTCGTGGATGCGAGTCGCCTCCTGACGCAGCCGCAAATTAATGAGCCTGACAGCAAATCTTCATTCATTGCAACTCTCCATTAAAGCCTACCATTGCTAAAACTGCTCACTTGGTTAATATGGGCCTACGCCTGCTGCATACAGCCATCTTACCGATGTTAAACTTCAATTTTACTGCCCAGATGGAAACTTCTCAATTTCATAAATCAATCCCTTTATTCCTTTCAAAGGTTTGTGCTGCTGGATTAGATCAAAATCACTTTTAGGTTTCCTGCAAAATGTATACACCCTGTAGCCTATTTTCAATAGCCGATGCACAAATTTTGATCAACGTAGGCCTCAGCCTATTCACTGAGTAATAAAAGGGTTAAACTTATACTACATATCTTACTTTTTGCAATTTCCTTGTTGGGGGTGTGTGTGTGTGTGTGTGTGGGGGGGGGGGGGTACACATCTTAGCCATAGAGTATTCCCCCTGCCCCCGACAAACACACAAGGCCAGTCAGGAAAGGAACTCAGGGATCTAGAGATACTGAGAACTGCACCTTCAGCTCCATCTGAAAGTCCTTAATGTACTTTAAATGACCAAGCAAGAAACTTCAAATTCTCCAAGAAATGGTCAAAAAACTTCAAGGTTCCTACAAATAACCTTTAGGTTATTTATGCACAGTAATTATAATGTACAGTATTTTTTCTGTATTGCAGTTTTATACATGTTCATTAAGAGCCTTTGATGGATCTGGTCAGCTGAAGTCCAATTTTATGTGCTTATTGCAAAGGTGATAGCTTTTCATCCCAAGTCAGTGTGGGCTGCTACCTTAGAGCTGCAGTGAAGTTGCTTCTGCAAAGCTCCCTCCTTGTGCTCTTTTGCTTTGGGCTGCCACATACTAGCTTGCTGCAAGAATTATGGCACTAAGAAACTCTTGAACTTGTGTTGGTGTTCTTGGCTCTTGCTCCCCTTCAAAAGGCATGGACATCTCTTAGGAATTCATTACATCCCTTAGGGATTCCAGATGCTGACTAATAGGGGATTCAATTAAGGAATATGGGATAAAATTGTGAATGCTTTTCCAGGGACCGACAAAGACATTTTTAAAACACAAAAGGTTTTATAATAAAACTGTATCAAGAGTGTATTAGATGCAGCCTCCAAAACAAAAGATGAAAGACAAAAATTCTGAGAAGACTGGTTAAACAATATTTTTTAAAGGTTCAAAAAAGTCAAAGATGACATTCGGCCGAGTTATGATAACCTTGGAGATACAATAAAAGGAACAACGATGGCTGAGGACTTGCAAGTGAGATCTTACAATCTTAGAGAGGGTGCGGATCGCTGGCTGATATAGTAGCTGTGAGACAGAGGCTGTTGTATTTATACTTTGATCCGCCGATCCCGATGCTCATCACTAATTCTCGCCCGGTACAGACGTGGGAGGTACGTGCGCTGAATACGTATGACCGCCTCCCGGCGCACGCTTCGGATTCAAGCCACAAGCAAACGGAAGCTGTCGGTCTGCCGGTGGATTTCGTCCCGCAGGACGTGTGGAACTATCAGGCTGTCCCCAGGAGCGTACTTCTGACGCCTGACGACATGTGTCCGTTTCTCGCGAAAGGCCTGTTTCGCCGATGGAGCCTGTTTACGAAAGGAGAGGGTACGGGACAACTGGCTCACCTTAATATTCCAACGTGAACAAGGACTCTTATAATCAAGTCTTAAGCAGCCTCCGATATATATATATATATATACACACACACACACACACACACACACACACACACCGTGGAGTATGGAACTGTAAATTATGCACTTAGCAAGGTTCACTTTCATTCTTATCATAGCTTACCACATCACAGGTATCACACCCAGCTTACCCATTCTACTGAGTCAATAAATCATCTCATGTGTAAAAAAGATGCTCCCTGATTAGTTTAATTTCCCTTCCTATAACTTCCTAATCTCCCTTGGATTTATGTCTCCAGCTAACTACGTGCGCCTTTGGCTTACCAGATATACTAATATCTATTGATTAACAGTCATAGAGACACCGCTGTAGTCACTATAAATACCTCAAGTTCCCACGCAGGGCGAACTGGGCAGGAAGAAAAATCATCTCTTCAGATGAGCTCACACTCAGCTTTTCTCTGAATCTCAACTTTAACTACAAACCTACACAACCAACCTCCCCCCCATTTAAGATATTGCCGTTTGGGTAAATGAATTATGTGACGCTATCAATCAAAAGACCAGATCCTCTCTTCAGAACTAATTAAAAGCCCAAAGGATCGGTAAATCAAAATAAAATTAATCGCCACAAAGCTAAATATACAAATTAATTAAGAAGAATATAAACGGAACATTAGGCTAATTAATCCTCAAGGGCGCTGTATGTAGATGAGTGATTGTCATTGAAATCTCCAGAAGCCCTCACGAGTCCCGCCATCACGGCAATATGAGGCCGGGGCAGTTTAAGTTTTGCTAAATTACTTATATAGAAAGCGTGGTATCTAGAAATGGCAATGCCTTGCGTGCCGTAGATGTGACCAAGTATGAATATTGGGAGGACCGATCGAGAAGCCTTCATAGTAGAAAGTTCTGTAAGATGACCTAATTACACGTTAATGTATAATGGATCATTACGATGATTATTAAAAAAGAAACAAAAATCAGTACCATTACAAAAAGACCAAATATCTATATCTTAAACGATGCAGCGATTAAGCACACTTTAGGACTATTAGTAATCGGTAAAGATGTCATTAACTGGAAGCTGTTATACAGTCTGTACATATATAAAAATGACAACTCACGACCAGTGCGGGAACTCCGGCGACCACTGTGTACAGGATAGCCGGGGGAATAGCGCTCAACTCCTCCGGTCCGAGGTACGGCTTTGTGTAAGCGTTGTCATAGCAGAAAAATCCCTGTACGTGCACGTTGAAAGTGTCTGTGTACTCGAAGTAGTACGCCAGCATGATAGTCCCAGCCATTATGACTATCTGAAAATAAAGCATTGTCGACCAAAATAAATCAATTTGATCCACTGTCAGCAGAAGAGCCCGACTGTCTTCGTCCCTCGCAACCCTAATGTGACCGGGGCATTTCTTGGTTCAGCACAGCGCCTCTTCTGCATCGATCACACGTTAAAAGAGATAATCCATGAAATATCGAAACACGCGCCGCTACCGGTCACGGCAACGCACGTTGGGCAGGAGCATCAGTGCACACTGTGCCTGCTGGGATGTTCAGTGCGAGCATTGCTGATTGATGCAGCGCCGTCCTTTCAACCATTTGCGCTCCACAAGCGAGCCTCGGCGACTTAAGAGTGATGTATATGTATATATATTATGCAGCAACATCAGCTGCACTGCGTTAGGACCCCCCCCCACACACACACACACACACACACTTTCAAGACTGCGTTACGCTTATCCTTATTACATAACCCAAGTTTCAAAAGGTCAATTTTTCTCCGACTCAAAGTAAGAGCTTTCGGGCATCTTTTCCAAAAGTGCAACGTTCACTGGCAATTTCTTTGATGATTTCTTTCGTGATTAAGGCGGGACGGTGAAACGCTGTTGATTTTGTTAAGATTACACTGAATGGCCAGTGTATTAGTTGCAATTGGGGGTGCTGCTAGAGATTTTGGACCCCAAGATGGCCCCCCACGCAGACCAATCCAATTATGTTTCAATTTTTCCAGTGACAGGGGCCCCTGAAATCATCGTAATCCCCCCCCCCTCCCTTACAATCGTTTGCTGTTGTGAACCAGGCTGCTCTTCATAACAGCAAATCATGTGTCTGTAACCGAATACATACAGCACACAGACAGGGTCAGGAGGCTCACTTACTGTTTGACTAAGCATTACAACGACCAAGATGTCTGACCTAAGCAGTTTCAACGATGGTGGTTCTATCCTCCCAGAAAGAGAAACTCTTCTGGGATTTTCATGCACTACAATGTCTGGAATTTCCAGAGAATCATGTGATAAGCAAACGTCCAGTCGATGGCAGTTCAATGGCCAAAACATCTAGTTTATGACAGAGGTTATAGGAGAATGGACAGAATTGTTAAAGCTAACAGGAAGGCCACAAAAATGACAGCTCAGAACGAGATTGGTGCACATAATTACATCTATGAGCACAAAACCAGTCCGCCCTTGAGGAAGACTTAAAGCAAATACATGACAGCTCTGACATTTAACAGTTAGGCACATGATTATGGCAGTGCACTAATTAAAAGCCTCTGCCAAATGGTGTAGAGAAACAATTTTACTGAATGGGCAAGCTTAGATTCTACATCGTGTCACAGAGTAGTTAACATTGCATGTATGCATTAACAACATACAGATTTGGCTGAGTTTCAATCATATATCCAACTCCAATGAATCAGTGGCATGTTTTCGACTGCTAGACTGGAAAAAAATCAAAAGTTGCAGTGTTTGATAGCCGTACCAATTCGCAAAACCTACATAGGACATGAAGAAATCTGTTTTTCATGTTGATTTGGTGACATCAAAAAGATTCGTTTTTAATAAGACGTAAACTTAAGGGCAAATGGGGCAAACCATGGAAAAACGTTTTTCTGCATTATTAATGACGTTTAAATGTCTTTACAAGTAAAGAGCTCTGATTGAATAAGTACTGAAAATAACGTAGCAGGAAGATTAGGGAAAGGTTTCCACTACGTATTTGCGTCTATCTGACGTTTGCGTAAGCGTAGGTAAATTCAGAGAAATGGTCCATCTCGAATGAGGTTTTTTGCCGCCATGAAATCCAGACTAATAATATACTCAGCAGATTATAGAGACATCTGGAAAGGAGCAGACTTATGGTTCACTGAAGGCAGTCAGCCAAGTTTTAAAGCACTAAGAGGGGAAAGTTAGCGCCATGTATTAAAGGGATGCAGCTTTGTTACGTTACTCTATCTATACGCAACAAGACAATGCACATCAGCATACGTTTTCATCGTATCATATCAGTCACGTCATGAGGCCGAAAGTTAATCACGCATTCTAATAAGTAGTGTTAGATCAAAATAACAGTAAGATTTCAATAACGCATGCGCATTAGGAGTCCCAAGTGCCTAGAAAAAGATGTACAGTATCTACGCCGGAGTTTTAGGGGCGGGCGATATCATATCGCGCATGCGCAATAATCACTAGGGTTTCAGATGACGGGCGCAACATTTGGCCATGCGCCAGCTTTTCGGTGCTATACGGACATTTATTAACGCCCACAATTTAAGCAGTTTAATATTTTAGCCATACAACTAATGAGGCTTTCTGTGATGTCCAAAAGTCAATTAGTATAAATACGGCATATTCTTATGTTTAATAAATCATGTGTCAGACTTTGAGCTGCAAAAAGTACCACCACACCGCCGACGTCTTTTTACCTTGCTTATCCACAAGATCTCCTCTTTTAAAAGATGTTGTGGCTGCTCTTATTCACCGCAACTTCAGTGCGTATTGCACTGAGGTATACAAATCGTAGTATACCAAATCGTAATACTGTACAGTAAAACTGGTCTAAGTCGCCGGCATGTAACTCGATCGTCAATGTGCACAAGTCGACGCTCAAGCAAAAGTCCCGATTTTTCCTAATGATGTTTCCTTTAAAATTTCTTGTGTAAATCGCTGCTTGTAAGTCGTCAAATTCCCTTAGTCGTCACCTAAATCCCGGTCCCGAACAACACAAATGAATGGATTTTCATACACCCCAATCGCTGCATTCCCGCCGCCTGCTGCACACCGTCATGTCAAGACCCTGACATGAACGCTGCACTCGAAGAGTAGTGTGATGCAGTTATGCTTGCTATAGCGCTCCATACAATTAACGGCAGAGCGTGATTCATCCAATGCGTGCAGCAGACCTGTCAGTTCTTCCGTTAGTAATCCATGACAGAGCACAATAGATTGTTTTGAGGGTTCAACATTCAGCTGAAATTGGACAGACCGGGGGCAATAACATCATGGCAGTCTGTAAAAGACTTGGATGGCTTTATAGGAACCCATACTGCATGTACTGACTGGTCAAGGAAGGATGCCGAGGCCGTGATGAGTAGAGGTATGGTATTATATTTACTAGTCGGTAAAACGGCGAGATAGACATAAGTCGCCAAAGTGTATCTCGTCAATTCTCTAAGTCGTCACATTTAAGTTGGTCACGCGAGCGTCGACTTAGACCGGTTTTACTGTATACAAAAACAGTATTATGTGGGGTGCCCCGCTAATTGAATTTAAGAAACATGAAGTTCATACAGATTACTAACTTTTCGGTATCACAAAACACACCTCATGTTTTAGCCAACTATTAATCCTCTTACCAAATTATGGGCATGTCCGTAGAGGACCGAAAAGCTGGCGTCCGGCCAAATGCTTCGGCTGTCATCTGACCTGGCGGTGATTATTGCGCATGCGCGATATATCGCCCAGCCCTAGCTATTAATAAAGTCATAACTTTGGAGAATAAATAGTTGCAATTCTTGCAAAGTTAGAATAATTCGAGAATAAAGTTACGAGAGAAGTTGTATTTTTTGGGAATAACGCCAAAGGCTGCACTCCGAAACTTTATGGCTTTACCCTCGAATTATGACTTTATTCTTGTGGTTTTATATCTTTATTTTCATTATTAGTAGCCATAAAATTCGTATAACTGCCAGGGATTTCATATTTGTAGTTTGGGAGAACATAGTGTAACATGTCTGGTAAATACTGTCTGAATTCAAAGGTGGGTAAAATAGAAACTCATCGCCATGGCACTTAGGGGATTTTTGGTGTGAGGTTCCTGAGAGCATTGGGGCTTGGCCGCGTCTTGGCCATAAGGGGAGGACATGTTTTCTTGCCTTAGGGGAGCTTGAAGGTCCAAGTGGCCTCATTCACCGGGAATCTGTAAGCCTGGGAGAGCTTCTGCCATCACAAAGGCCTGCAGGCCTGTTTCTTGGCCTGCATTGAGCAGGTCCTCAGTCCCACAGGAATCCTAAGCAGCGAATCCAAAACACGCAAACCAGCCACCCAACCAAGTTCAGGTTTTCCCAAAATACTCCATTCTACAAATTACACTACAGCAACACAAAAAAATAAACAAAGCTATACTGCGCACATTGAGAAATGAGACCATTTCAATCTGGCAGAAAACACGTGTAGCATCTCTGGATTCTGACTTATTAGAAAATTTGCAACACTAATTGCATACATGTATATCAAGTCATGTCCCAAAACGCCACAGCTTGGAGCTTTCAAATTCAGGAAGCACTGAATAACTTATGCAGCAATACCACCCAGAAAATATCTAATGTTCCCTGTACACAGTGAGGATTACCTGCCACCAACAAACAGATAGGCTTTAATCATCAGCCAAATGCACACAAACACAATATAAACTGAGCTGTGTGCTTTGGCCCAAATACATAACAGCACCATCTGCTGCAGCCACTTCCTCACAGAAGATGGCTGCTCTCAGAGGGTGCATGTGACCCCCCCCCGCCTCAAGCACACTTCATTTTAACCACTTAACGTGCACCTGATTCCAATCACTGCCTAGGACTTCCAGCCACCTTATGTTCGGCACAACTTAGAATCCATGCTCTCTAGAACACTGTTTCCCAATCTGGTCCTCAGGGACCCACAGCTTGTCCACATTTGTGCTCCCCCCCAACTCACTTCCAGACAGTCCGCATTTGTGCTCCCTCGCTGGGGAGCTGGGATGGAGCAAAAACGTGGACTGATTGGGAAACACTGCTCTAGAAGTACGACTTGCCTTTATGACACAATGCTGAGTGCAAGTACAACAATACAAATCAATTTACTGCATCTACATCAAATTCCTTAATATGCAGCATTTAATCTTACCATATACACTCACCTAAAGGATTATTAGGAACACCATACTAATACGGTGTTTGACCCCCTTTCGCCTTCAGAA